TAATAAATAATAAATAATAGATGGATATATATGAAATAATAATAATAATAATATAGATGAATGGATATGAATGGTGTGCATCTAATGCACTTTGGAAACAGTTGCAGTGTATAGATTTTTCCATCGGGCCCGCCTTCTCCCTATTGGAAGAGCGTTCTACCATTCCTATCTCTACGGCTCGCTCTTTTCGGCCCCGCCCCTTGAGGGGAAGAGCTCTCGCGAGAGTTGCTGCGTGTGTCCCGCCCAGTCTCGCGAGAGTGGCCTCCCGCCTGCCATGGCGGCCGGAGGGAGGCGTGAGGCGCGGGTGAGCCTGTGGGCCTTCGCGCTGGGGGGCTCCGTGGCCGGCCTGCCGCTGCTGCTCTCGGCCTCTCCGCCCTCGCTCCTGGCCGGGCCGGGCCTCCAGGGAAGGGCCGCCTTGGCGCTCCACGTCGCCGGAGTCAACGCCGCGCTCCTCCTCGCCTGGGGACGCCAGCCCGGAGGAGCCTACCAGGTAGGCCGCAAAGGGGCGGGGCCAGCTCCAAGCCACGCCCCCTCCGGAAGGGAGTTCTGGATAGGAAAAGCCGAGAAGGGGGCGGGGCCAAAGCAAAAGGGGCGGGGCCCGTCCCCAAGCCACGCCCCCTAAGGATTTCTGAGGACTCTAGGGAAAGGGGCGGAGGGGGCGGGGACAAGGCGAAAGAGGTGGGGCCCCGTCTCCAAGCCACACCCCCTAAGGATTTCTGAGGCTTCTCCATAGAACTCAATAGGGAAAGGCACGGAGGGGGGCGGGGCCAAGACGAAAGGGGCGGGGCCTCGTCTGCAAGCCACGCCCTCTATGGGACGTCGCAGGCTTCTGCATCTAAGGCCTCGCCCACTCCACAGAACTGAATAGGGAAGGGGGCGGAGGGAGCGGGGACAAGGCGAAAGGGGGCGGGGCCGTCTCCTAAACACGCCCTCTGAGATTGCTGAGGCCTAGATGAAGGCCCCGCCCACTCCACAGTACTGAGTAGCGCCTATTCGAGGAGGGCGGGGCCAAGGCGGAAGGGGCGGGGCCGGCTCCAAGCCACGCCCCCTATGGGGTTTCTGAGGCTTTTCTTACGTCCACTGACTGAATAGGGACTACGCGAGGAGGGCGGGGCCAGATCCAAGACCCCGCCCACTCCACAGAACTGAATAGGGAAAGGCGTGGAGGCGGGGCCTCGTCACCAAGCCACGCCCCCTGAGGATTTCTGAGGCTTCTCTTGCATCCAAGGCCCCGCCCACTCCACAGAACTGAATAGGGAAAGGCGCGGAGGGGGCGGGGCCGGTTCCAAGCCACGCCCACTGTGGGATTTCTAAGGTATCTGCATCTAAGGCCCCGCCTCTGAGTTTGCTGAGGCTAAACACGCCCTCTGAGTTTGCTGAGGCTTAGATGAAGGCCTCGCCCACTCCACGGTACTGAATAGTGCTAATGCGAGGGGGCGGGGCCACATCCAAGACCCCGCCCACTCCATAGAACTGAATGGGGAAAGGCGCGGAGGGGGCGGGGCCTCGTCACCAAGCCACGCCCTCTAAGGATTTCTGAGGCTTCTCTTGCATCCAAGGCCCCGCCCACTCCACAGAATTGAATAGGGAAAGGCGCGTGAGGGCGGGGTCAAGACATAAGGATGCGGGGTCAGCTCCAAGCCACGCCCTCTGAGATTTCTGAGGCTTTTCCTGCTCCTCAGGCCCCGCCCACTACAGGATTAAAGGGGCAGGACCAGTTCCAAGGCACCAAGGGGGCGGAGCCAAGGCGAAGGGGGCGGGGTCAGTTCCAAGGCATTGAGGGGGCGGGGCCAACGCGGAGGGGGCGGGGCTAACTCCAAGGGATTTCTCAGGCTTTTCCTTTTCCCAAGTGACTGAATAGCATCTACGTGAGGGGGCGGGGCCGTATCCTAGACCCCGCCCACTTCACATAACTGACTAGGGAAAGGCACGGAGGGGGCGGGGCCAAGGCGAAAGGGGGCGGGGCCCGGCTTCCAAGCCACGCCCACCAAGGGGTTTCTCAGGCTTTTCCTTTTCCCAAGTGACTGAATAGGGACTACGCGAGGAGGGCGGGGCCACACCAAGACACGCCCCCTAACTCTTCTCCATCCAAGACTCCGCCCACTACACAGAACTGAATAGGGAAAGGCGCGGAGGGGGCGGGGCCAAGGTGAAAGGGGGCGGGGCCTGCTCCTAAACATGCCCACTGGGACTCCACAGTACTGAATAGCGCGTATGCGAGGAGGGCGGGGCCACATCCAAGAACCCCGCCCACCCCACAGAACTGAATGGGGAGGGGGCGGGGCCGGCTCCTAAACACGCCCTCTGGGATTTCTAAGGCTTCGCAGTACTGAATATATCAGGATTAAAGGGGCGGGGCCTCCTAAAGTACAGAATCAGGACTATGCAAGGAGGGCGGGGCTAGCTCCAAGGCACGCCCACTAAGGGATTACTCAGGAGTTTGCTTCTCTCAAGGCCCCGCCCACTCCAGGATTGAAGGGGCGGGGCCATCTACTGGACTATGCTCCAAGGTGCTGAGGGGGTGAAGCCAACGTGAAGGGGGCGGTGCTAGCTCCAAGACACGCCCACCAAGGGATTTCTCAGGCTTTTCCTGCTCCCTAGGCCCCGCCCACTCCAGCATTTAAGGGGCGGGTCCACTGAGGGGGCGGGGCCAAGGCGAAGGGGCGGGGTAATGCATTATAATACTAATAATAATACAATATAATAATAATATAATAATAATAATAACATACTATATATTACATCTAATATTGCAAATAATATTGCAATATTATATATTATATATTATATGTAATATTACTAATAATATTGCAGTATAACGATATAGTACAATATAGTAATATATAAAACTAATATTGAGCTATGCTAATAATATAATATATTGCATGTATGTACACATAATGCATGCCATTTGCCAGCAAATATGGAAAACACAAGAATGGCCATCAGACTGGAAAAAATCAACTTATATCCCCATACCAAAAAAGGGAAATGCGAAAGACTGCTCCAACTTCCGTACAGTGGCCCTTATTTCTCCTCATGCCAGTAAGGGAATGCTCAAGATCCTGCAAGGAAGACTCCAGCAATACATGGAGAGAGAGTGGCCAGATGTTCAAGCTGGGTTTAGAAAAGGCAGAGGAACGAGAGACCAGATTGCCAATATCCGCTGGATAATGGAGAAAGGCAGGGAGTTTCAGAAAAACATCTACTTCTGCTTCATTGACTATTCTAAAGCCCTTGACTGTGTGGATCATAATAAATTGTGGCAAGTTCTTGGTGGGATGGGCATCCCAAGCCACCTTGTCTCTCTCCTGAGGAATCTGTACAAGGACCAAGTAGCAACAGTCAGAACTGACCACGGAACAGGAGACTGGTTCAAGATTGGGAAAGGCGTCCGGCAAGGCTGCATCCTCTCACCCAACCTATTCAACTTGTATGCAGAACACATCATGCGAGGATGTGCGGGGCTGGATGAATGCAAAGCTGGGGTGAAAATTGCTGGAAGAAACATTAACAACCTCAGATATGCAGATGACACCACTCTGATGGCCGAAAGCGAGGAGGAGCTGAGGAGCCTTCTAATCAAGGTGAAAGAAGAAAGCGCAAAAGCCGGGTTGCAGCTAAACGTCAAAAAAACCAAGATTGTGGCAACAAGAATGATTGACAACTGGAAAATAGAGGGAGAAACCGTGGAGGCCGTGACAGACTTTGTATTTCTAGGTGCAAAGATGACTGCAGATGCAGACTGTGGCCAGGAAATCAGAAGACGCTTCCTTCTTGGGAGGAGAGCAATGTCCAGTCTCGATAAAACAGTGAAGAGTAGAGACATCAGACTGGCAACAAAGATCCATTGCCTAGTCAAAGCCATGGTCTTCCCTGTAGTCACCTACGGATGTGAGAGCTGGACCTTCGGGAAGGCCGAGCGAAGAAAGATCGATGCTTTTGAGCTGTGGTGTTGGAGGAAAGTGCTGAGAGTGCCTTGGACTGCGAGAAGATCCAACCAGTCCATCCTCCAGGAAATAAAGCCCGGCTGCTCACTGGAGGGAAAGATACTAGAGACAAAGTGGAAGTCCTTTGAATGCCACATCATGAGGAGACAGGAAAGCCTAGAGAAGACAATGATGCTGGGGAAAGTGGAAGGCAAAAGGAAGAGGGGCCGACCAAGGGCAAGATGGATGGATGGCATCCTTGAAGTGACTGGACTGACCTTGAGGGAGCTGGGGGTGGTAACGGCCGACAGGGAGCTCTGGCGTGGGCTGGTCCATGAGGTCACGAAGAGTCGGAGACGACTGAACGAGTGAACAACATGTACACATAATATTGATCATAAAATTGTAATACAATATAATACTAATAATAAACAATAATAATTATTATATATTATGTATTCCATGTAATATAACTAATATACGTGTAATATATTATTATGTTGTATTAATATTAAAATATTACAATATAGTTCTATACAATATAATTCTAATAATAATACAATGATATAATTATGTATTCCATGTAATATAACTAATAATATTGCAGTATAATGATATAGTACAATATAGTAATATATAATACGAATATTATATAATAATATAATAATTATATATTATAATATTACTAATAGTATTGCAGTATATAGTACAATATAGTAATATAATACTAATATTGTGCTATGCTAATAATATATTATATGTACACATGATATTGTTCATAAAATTGTAATGCATTATAATACTACTAATAATATAATATAATAATATAATATATATTATATATTCCATGTAATATTACTAATAATATTGCAGTATAATGATATAGTACAATATAGTAATATATAATATGAATATTATATAATAATATAATAATTATATATTACTTATAATATTACTAATAGTATTGCAGTATATAGTACAATATAGTAATATAATACTAATACTGTGCTATGCTAATAATATATTATATGTACACATGATATTGTTCATAAAATTGTAATGCATTATAATACTAATAATAATATAATATAATAATATAATATATATTATATATTCCATGTAATATTACTAATAATATTGCAGTATAATGATATAGTACAATATAGTAATATATAATACGAATATTATTCTATGCAAGTAATATAATATACTGTATGTAATAATAATAATGATACAATGTACAGCTATTGATCATAATATTGTAATACAATATAATACTAATAATATAATATAATAATATAATATATATTATATATTACATATAATATTTCCAATAATATTTCGGTATAATGATATAGTACCATAAAGTAATATAATACTAATATTGAGCTATGCTAATAATATAATATATTGTATGTACATATGGTATTGATCATAAAATTGTAATACAATACAATAATATAATAATATAATAATTATATATTACATGTAATATTACTAATAATATTTCAGTATAATGATATAGTACAATATAGTAATATATAATACTAATATTGTGCTATGCTAATAATATATATTTTGTGCACATATGATATTGATCATAAAATTGAAATACAATATAATACTAATAATTATATAATAATATTGCAGTATAGTAGTATAGTGCAATATAGTAATATATAATACTAATATTATTGTATGCTAATAATATAATGTATGTAATAATAATAATAATAATATATTGTACATACATACGATATTGGTCATAACATTATAATACAATATAATGCTACTAATAATACAATAATATAATAATTATATATTATATATTACATGTAACATTACTAATAATATTGCAGTATAGTGGTATAGTGCAATATAGTAATATATAATACTAATATTGTGCTATGCTAATAATATAATATATTGTATGTATATATATATCTTGTAAGCCACGCTTAGTCCAGGTGAGAAGGGCGGCATATAAATGTCGTAAATAAATAAATAAAATTCATATTTATTTCTATATATTGTCCCTCTTGACCCTTGGGGAGGGGTGGGTAAGAAATAATAATAATAATAATAATAATAATAATAATAGTAATGTCTCTTCCTTTGCCTTTGAGGTAGGTAAGAAATAATAATAATAATAATAATAATAATAATAATAATTTTTATTATTATGTCTCTTCCTTTGCCTTTGAGGTAGGTAAGAAATAATAATAATAATAATAATAATGATAATAATAATAATAATTATTATTATTATTATTTGTATTATTATGTCTCTTCCTTTGCCTTCCAGATTGCCATCCGGGCCTGTTTCCTGGGCTTCGCTTTTGGCTGCGGATTGTTGCTTAGCTTCGGACAATCGACTTGGAAGCATTTTGGCTGGTAAGAAGAGCGGCCTTGCAAAACTACAAATCCAACGATCCCATTGTAGAGGCACCTCCCGGAGACGATGGGATCCATGTTAACTCTCCCTTTTCCGTGCGTCTCCCTCCCTTTCGCAGGTACATGTGCTCCTTGTCTCTCTTCCATTATTCGGAGTATTTAGTGACGGCCGTCAACAACCCCAGAAGCTTGTCTTTGGACTCCTTTTTGCTCAACCACAGCTTCGAGTACAATATGGCGGCTATTTCCTCCTGGGTCGAGTTTACGGTGGAAAAATTCATGTTCCCAGGTCAGTATGAGAATGGCATTGGCCTTTTCCCTACAGGTGTTGGCTATTTGTTTGAATTCTTCTTTGGTGATTTCTCCCTTTTTCCACTTCTTGTGCATGTCTCTTTTGTGTCTTAGCACAGTTAGAAGTTCTTTGGACATCCATTCTGGCTTCTTTACACCTATTTTTTCTCTTTGTTGGCACAGTTTGCAATTGCGCCTTGAGTATTTCACTCTTGAGAAATTCCAATCCATCTGTAACTCCCTTGTCTTTTAGAATCTGGTTCCACGGAATGCTGCTCATGATCAAGCAAGACTCCTAGATCCCTTTCAGTGGACTATAAATAATAATAATAATAATAATAATAATACCTTGTTTATGGTCAAGCAAGACTCTTAGATCCCTTTCAATGGACTATAAATAATAATAATAATACCTTGTTGATGGTCAAGCAAGACTCTTTGATCCCTTTCAATGGACTATAAATAACTAGCGGTGAGATTTCGTCCGGTGATTTCTCCGTTTTTGACCGCCTAATTACGCTCTTAAGCTTTTTATATATATAGATGATGATGATGATAATAATAATAATAATACCTGGTTGATGGTTAAGCAAGACTCCTAGATCCCTTTCAATGGACTATAAGTAATAATAATAATAATAATAATAATAATAATAATAATAATACCACCTGGTTCATGGTCAAGCAAGACTCCTAGATCCCTTTCAATGGACTACAAATAATAATAATAATAATACCTGGTTCATGGTCAAGCAAGACTCCGAGATCCTTTTCAATGGACTATAAATAATAATAATAATACCTTGTTGATGGTCAAGCAAGACTCCTAGATCCCTTTCAATGGACTATAAATAATAATAATAATAATAATAATAATAATAATAATAATACCTGGTTCATGGTCAAGCAAGACTCTTAGATCCCTTTCAATAGACTATAAATAACTAGCGGTGAGATTTTGTCCGGTAGTTTCTCTGTTTTTGACCGCCTAATTACGCCCTTAAGATTTTTATATATGTAGATAATAATAATAATACCTGATTCATGGTCAAGCAAGACTCTTAGATCCCTTTCAATGGACTATAAATAACTAGCGGTGAGATTCCGTCCGGTGGTTTCTCCGTTTTTGACCGCCTAATGACGCCCTTAAGCTTTTTATATATATAGATAATAATAATAATAATAATAATAATAATAATAATACATGGTTCATGGTCAAGCAAGACTCCTAGATCCCTTTCAATGGACTATAACTAACAATAATAATAATACCTTGTTGATGGTCATGCAAGACTCCTAGATCCCTTTCAATGGACTATAGATAATAATATATTAATAATAATACCTGGTTCGTGGTCAAGCAAGACTCCGAGATCCCTCTTGGCTTCACCTTTCCTTTGTCACCAGGCATGAAGCAGTTGACCTGGCTGAGCTCGGCCGGCCTGCTGATGGTAGTCTTTGGGGACCTGCTGCGGAAGGCGGCCATGCTGACCGCCGGCTCCAACTTCAACCACATCGTCCAGAACGAGAAGTCGGACACCCACCGGCTGGTGACCCGGGGCGTCTACGCATGGTTCCGGCATCCCTCCTACGTGGGGTGGTTCTACTGGAGCATCGGCACCCAGGTACGCCCAATGCTCTTGTGGGCCAATCCCAATAATAATAATAATAATAATAATAATAATAATAAAATATTATTATTACTATCATCATTCGCTCTCCTTATTATTATTGTTGTTATTGTTGTTATTATCATTTGCTCTCCCTCCCGTTGTTGTTGTTGTTGTTATCATTTCCTCTCCCTCCCAATAGTATTAATTCATCTTCAATCACTCTCCTTGCTATTATTATTGTTATTATTGTGGCAGTCGTTAGTGGAAAAATAAAATAATAATCATAATTATAAAATCCTTACCGAGGTTCAGACAGCTCAAAGGAGATTTTGCAAATTAAAGGGAAAAAGCCAACAGATAGCATGGATCGATAGGAGTTCAAGATGACTGATCTAAGGTACATGTTTATACAAGCCGAATGTTTACTCTAAGCTGAATGTTGACCACCAAAGAACTGGCACCACATAGAAATCAATATATATCAATCCAAGACTTGGAACATCTAAGGTCATATGGTGAGAGAGCGCCATCTCCTGACTATTTGACGTAAATACCAGGGAATTCCCGGGGAACTAAGTTATTAACAGAGTAATTACGGCAGAATTGATGAGGAGATTTCCTGGATCAACTTTTATGTTAAAAACATATATAAAGTTATGATTCATTTAAGAGATCTAAGGGAATTAAGAACAATTGAACATGTCGTCTGGGGATAAGGGGTAAAGGTTAAATAGTTATATAAGTGAGCAGATGTTTGGGGTCATGATGGTCTTGCCAGAAAGATGTCCTTGGCAACAACATATGAAAATTCCTGTTAATGATTGTATTGTATAAATGTCAGAGTTGTTCTACGCATGTGCAAAACTAGCAATTCCATGCTAAAAAAGCTGGACTAAATGTGACATCAGGTGTGCATCAGCCCTTGGTTATGCTGATCACCCTTACTCCGGAGTATGAATAAACGCCTGGAACCCTGCCAAGCTGTTTCTCAATCTTCTTCCTTCTCCAAGAGGTACTCAATGAAACCTGGTAAATAAATTGACCCGCAACATTATTATTATTATTATTATTATTATTATTAGAAACATAACAAGATGAGTCCACAGCAGACAAGCTGTTGTATTGGATCACACTTCGGACGCTTCCCAATTATTATTATTTAGTCGCAGAGCCATTTGGGGGAATCGCCCCCAAACGGCTCTGCGACTATTATGCGAGGAACACAAAAATACCAATTACATCGTTTGTTTTTATTCCTGTCGTTATTGTCATCCTCCGCAGATCCTGCTGTGCAACCCGTTCTGCGCCGTGGGCTACACGCTAGTCTCGTGGCGCTTCTTCCGGGAGCGCATCGAGGAGGAGGAGCTGACGCTGGTCCACTTCTTCGGGGAGGAGTACCTGGCGTACAAGCGGAGGGTGCCCTCGGGGCTCCCCTTCATCCGGGGGGCCGCGACCGACTTCTGACTGCCCCAAGGGGGACCACAGAGGGCATCTAGCCTGACCCTTTCCTGCAGAAAGACCTCCAACTCTGGTTTTTGCATCACGATGGGAGTCGCAGGACGTCGTCGGGACCGATCCGGGTCTATTTGGGCAAAAAATGCATGCAAAGAAAGGAAGGCAATGCTGGGAAGACGGAGAGTCATTTCCCCCCTCGGACATAGCCTCATGTACCGGCTTTTGATGACTTGAATGTCCTCGTAGGTTGCTTCGTTATCCTATGACTTGAATCATATATATATATTTTCCCCCAATATGAGTTTTGAATACCAAATCCTTCCTAATAAATATGTATTATTAAATTTTGATTATCCGATGAGTTGGTGACCTCCCCAAACGTTTCATTCATTCAGCTAATAATAATAATAATAATAATGATAATGTAAAATAATAATGTAATAATATATTGTAATATAATGTAATAATATATTAATAATATTAAAATATAGTAATAATAATAATTATAATAATAAAGTAAAATAATAATATATTATAATATAATAATATAATATAATATAATGTAATAATAATAAAGTAAAATAATAATATAATATATTATAATATATATGTGTTATTACTTTTGATTATCCTATGAGTTGGAAACCTCTCCAAACGTTTCCTTCGTTTAGCTAATAATAATAATAATAATAATAATAATAATAATAATAAAATGTAATATAATAATAATAATATATTACCATAATAATAAAGTAAAATAATAATAATAATATAATATATTATGATATAATATAATAATGTAATATAATAATAATAAAGTAAAATAATAATAATAATAATATAATAATATATATGTATTATTACTTTTGATTATCCTATGAGTTGGTAACCTCCCCAAACGGTTCATTTGTTCAGCTAATAATAATAATAATAATAATAATAATAATAGTAAAGTAAAATAATAATAAAGTAAAATAATAATAATAATATAATATATATGTATTATTACTATTGATTATCCTATGAGTTGGTAACCTCCCCAAAAGTTTCATTCGTTCAGTGTATAATAATTATAATAATATAAAATAATAAAAATATAATTTAGTCGCAGAGCCCTTTGGGGGAATCACCGTTCAGCACCATTATTGTTATTGTTGTTATTATTAGCTGAACGAATGGAACGGTGATTCCCCCAAATTATTATTATTTTACTTTATTATTATATTATATTATTTTATTATATTATAATAATGTAATAATAATAAAGTAAAATAATAATATTATATTATAATATAATATAATAATATTATATAATAATAATAATATAGAATAATATAATAATAATAATAATAATAATAAAGTAATAATAATATAATATATATGTATTATTACTTTTGATTTTCCTATGAGTTGGTAACCGCCCCAGCTAATAATAATAATAATAATGTAAAATAATAATAATAATATAATAATATATTATAATGTAATAATATAATATAATGATAAAGTAAAATAATAATAATAAATAAAATATTATCATCATTATCAAGTTATAATTAGAGATATATTATTCTTAATTATCCTTTTATTTTTATGTCATAAGGCAATGAATATATATATATATATGCCACTATCCCATGACATTATTATTATTATTATTATTATTATTGATAATCTCACAAACAATAATAATAATAATAATAGATGAGATGGAAGGAGTGGCGGTAATAAATAAAAATATTATTATCATTATCAAGTTATAATAATAATAATAGATGAGATGAAAGAGGCGGTAATAAATAAAAATATTATTGTTATCATCATTATCAAGTTAATAATATGATAATAATAATATTTTTATTTATTACCGCCTCTTCTTCCATCTCATCTTTTATTATTATTATTATCATCATTATTATCAAGTTATAAGATAATGAGAAATATATTATTCTTAATTATTTTTATATCATAATATAATGAATATATATGACATTATTATTATTATTATTATTATTGATATCCCATGACATTATTATTATTATTATTATTATTATTATTATTATTATTATAGTACTAACAAAACTAAAGTTCTGGTGGTGAAAATTTCAGAACTCTTACAAAACTTTCAAAATTTAATTATTACGTCATTATTGGTGATTTTTATGATATATGTCACTATCCCATGACATTATTATTATTATTATTATTATTATTATTATTATAGTACTAACAAAACTAAAGTTCTGGTGGTGAAAATTTCAGAACTCTTACAAAACTTTCAAAATTTAATTATTAGGTCATTATTGGTGATTTTTATGATAGAACCAATTAGGAACTGCCATTTATAATGAAATTTTGAGAGTTTTGTTAGAGTTCTGGAATTTTCACCACTAGAATTTTCTCGGAAGGCCTTTCAAAGCGATGGAGTCGAGAGTCCAGACTTTGGTGCTTCGTTAATCTGACCTTAATTCTTTTATAATCCAGTACGAAGGTGGTTTAATTATAGCAACGATAGCCACTCTTGACCTGGAGGATCTGCGAAGAACTATAAAAGGGAGATTCTCTAGAGGAAGAAATACCAATTATGCAGCACCGACTATTATGTGAGGAAATACGGTATTGTTAAGTGATAATAATGAAAGTATTTATAGATGAAACAGGAAATAAGTACAAGTCACTTCCATTATGTTTTTAAACTCCCATGCTTTCAGGGAAGGAAGGAAGGGGGAATCAGCCCCAAATGGCTCTGCAACTATTATGCGAGGAACACAGAAATACCAATCATGCGGCGGCGACTATTATGAGAGGAAATACGGTATTGTTATTGCATTCATTGTTAGTCCATTTTCCTCTCTTTGGAAGCTGTTGTTCCTTAAGTCAGTACAAGTCACTTCCTGTAGTAATAGGAAGTAAGTACAAGCCACTTCCTTAAGTAACAGGAAGTGCAAGCCACTTCCTTAAGTAACAGGAAGTAAGTACAAGTCACTTCCATTGTGTAGTTTTTAAACTCCCATGCTTTCAGGGAAGGAAGGGGGAATCAACCCTAAATGGCTCTGCGACTATTATGCGAGGAACACAAAAATACCAATCATGCAGCGGCGACTATTATGCGAGGAAATACGGTATTGTTAAGTGATAATAATGAAAGTATTTATAGATGAGACCGGAAATGAGTGCAAGCCACTTCCTTAAGTAACAGGAAGTAAGTACAAGCCCATTCCTTACTTAATAGGAACTACAGGTCACTTCCATTGTGTAGTTTTTAATCTCCCATGCTTTTAGGGAAGGAAGGAAGGAAGGAAGGAAGGAAGGCGGAATCAACCCGAAATGGCTCTGCGACTATTATGTGAGGAACACAGAAATACCAATCATGTGGCGGCGACTATTATGCGAGGAAATACGGTATTGTTATTCATTGTTAACCCACTTTCCTCTCTTTGGAAGCTGCTGTTCCTTAAGTAACAGGAAGTCAGTACAAGTCACTTCCTGTAGTAACAGGAAATAAATGCAAGCCACTTCCTTAAGTAACAGGAAATAAGTGCAAGCCACTTCCTTAAGTAACAGGAAATAAGTACAAGACACTTCCATTGTGTAGTTTTTAAACTCACATGCTTTCAGGGAAGGAAAGAAGGAAGGGGGAATCAACCCCAAATGGCTCTGCGACTATTATGCGAGGAACACAGAAATACTAATCAGGCAGATGTGACTATTATGCGAGGAAATACGGTATTGTTACGTGATAATAATGAAAGTATTTATAGATGAAACAGGAAATAAGTACAAGTCTCTTCCTTAAGTAACAGGAAGTGCAAGCCACTTCCTTAAGTAACAGGAAGTGAGTACAAGTCCATTCCTTACGTAATAGGAAGTAAGTACAAGTCACTTCCATTATGTATTTAATCTCCCATGCTTTCAGGGAAGGAAGGAAGGGGGAATCAGTCCCAAATGGCTCTGTGACTATTATGCGAGGAGCACAGAAATACCAATCATGTGACGGTGACTATTATGCGAGGAAATACGGTATTGTTATTGCATTCATTGTTAACCCATTTTCTTCTCTTTGGAAGCTGCTGTTCCTTAAGTAACAGGAAGTCAGTATAAGTAACTTCCTGTAGTAACAGGAAGTAAGTGCAAGCCTCTTTCTTAAGTAACAGGAAGTGCAAGCAACTTCCTTAAGTAACAGGAAATAAGTACAAGTCACTTCCTTAAGTAACAGAAAGTGCAAGCCACTTCCTTAAGTAACAGGAAGTACAAGTCTTTTCCTTACATAATAGGAAGTAAGTACAAGTCACTTCCATTGTGTATTTAATCTCCCATGCTTTCAGGGAAGGAAGGAAGGGGGAATCAACCCCAAATGGCTCTGCGACTATTATGCGAGGAACACAGAAATACCAATCATGCAGCGGCTACTACTATGCAAGGAAATATGGTATTGTTATTGTATTCATTGATAACTCACTTTCCTCTCTTTGGAAGCTTCTGTTCCTTAAGTCAGTACAAGTCACTTCCTGTAGTAACAGGAAGTGCAAGCCACTTCCTTAAGTAACGGGAAGTAAGTACAAGTCACTTCCATTGTGTAGTTTTTAAACTCCCATGCTTTCAGGGAAGGAAGGAAGGGGGAATCAGCCCCAAATGGCTCTGCGACTATTATGCGAGGAAATACGGAATTGTTATTGTATTCCTTGTTAACCCACTTTCCTCTCTTTGGAAGCTGTTGGAAGAGCCAAATGGCTCTGCGACTGTTATGCGAGGAACACAGAAATACCAATCATGCAAAAGCGACTATTATGCGAGGAAATATATTATTGTTAAGTGATAATAATGAAAGTATTTATAGATGAAATAGGATTCGAGAGCTTTGGTCATTTCCTTTAGAAAACTGCAGACAAATGAATTTATATTATTATTATTATTATTATTATTATTATTATTATTATTAATTAGCTGATTCGTTTACTTCGAGTCATAAGTGGAATTTATTTGGGGGGGGATTATTTTGTGACCTCAAGAGGCTGAGAAGATATAAACGGGTTTTTTGCTTTTCTCGACCACTCAGCGGCAGAACGGGGAGCAATTTAGTTTTATTTTTATTAATAAAAGGAATTATTAAATTAATGAAAAATAATTATTTTTTAAGAAACTCTTTTTTTATCCCAAAAAAACCCCCCAAAAAAACCAAAAACACACCTTTCTCCCCTTTTTTTCCTTTCTCAAATAAATAAATAAAATGATGCGTCAATCGATGGAATACTCATTTTATTGATTTTTAATTAATTCGTAATTAATTTTAATTAATTCGTAATTTTTTTAATTAATTCGTAATCACTTTTCTCTTGAGATGATGTTTCCTGGT